TTCCTGGATCTGAATCCCATTGAACACATTTGGAATTTTTATAAGGAATGTCAAAGCCCCCCCCCCCTCCACCACCACCTTTCCACACAATTTCAACGGTTTGGAAAGATATATGCAGTAGGTTTGGCAGCAGATGGGTCAATCTCCTATTTAGGGGTACATGGTATCCGACAGTAAAGATTGTTTTGAAGTCATTAGAGCGAGTGGTGTTCTTACTCCATTGAGAGTTTTTTGTGTGAATTTTCATTTTGAGGGTACATCATTTCCTTGACACTTTGCTTATAATTCTGACGAGATACTTGCATGAAATTTACGCAACATCGAACTTAAATATGCATTATTAACCATGAATTAAAGAAATTATTTATTGTATGCATTTGTTCTTAAAAACTTAAAAAATGTTCGGTGAACATTTAGAAGCTTGGTTCAGTGTATTCATCACCTATTTTTTTTTTTCCATTTTAACTTTAAGAAGGGGTAGGCGGGGCCACTGGGATTTATGGTATAAAATTTCATTACAAATATTTCTTGAGATATCGCTATGTTGTAAAATATACTTATTAAAGTTTGAATGAATTCAAGAAAAATTAAAGTGCATTTAATATACAGATATGACGTGTATTATAGCTTGGTGAAAACTGAAACACAACATAATTTTTCTGTTTACCGTGTCTCAACGTGCTAGTCACTTCCTAATCATATTTCTGTGAATAATTTACCCTATCTCGCTGTAGTCTCGCTAACTCTCGCCAGAGCTACTCTGAACTCCTTAGATTTTACAATTTGCGGAAAACCAAAAAATAAAAGGTCCCGAACACATTAGTAGGGGGTGCAAGGGCTGTGCCACATTGGATATTATAATTCACCCGTGATATTTTTCCTCTGGTAATTTTGTGAACACTAAATTCCGTCATGTGACTTATAGATACATGCAGAATGTTTTAGCGAACTAGGGCACTGATGTGCTCGAAAACGTTAAATAGTCAGCAATCGATTTAAAATATTCTTTACTTACATGAATGGGCTCATACGTTTTAAACTTTTGTAAATAATGTACTTGTGTCATACTGAATAAATAGGAAGACAGAAAATAGAGATATCGTATTTTTAATACATGCCATTGTTAGTTATCCAGTTCAATTTTAGACTTATTCTTACGATATGTTACAGCTCCGCCTCTCATATATACATAATGTTCAATCAAGGGCAGGTAAGTGTAAATTATCTGTATTTGGAAAACTGTAACGACAAAAAAAAATGAAATAAGTTATAATATTACAGTCTAATATTACGTTTAACATTTTAATTGGGTGTCTAATTGACCTAAAAGCTAAGCTTTCTCGAGATGTCGTGTAGAAACGAAAGTGTTACAGACAGACAGCTATACAGACGGACGGACAGACAGACCGAAATTTATATTACCCTTTTTCAACGAAAGAGGGGGGACAAAAAGACAGTATGTAATGAGTGCACGTGAGCTATAGATTATGCATTGTTGTTACCAACGCATATTGACCGAGGACTATAAATAACATACAGGTAGATTACACAGGTAGGTGGGTCATGTGTGTTATGCTGACGTGTCAGACGGCAATAAAATCAGGTAATAATTATTGGGTAATTCTTTCAATAATGTTTTACCACTTGAAATTTTTGGAAAAAAAAAACTAGGATTCTTTTTAAATATGACCAAAATCACAACTATAAATGATAGGAAAGGGGAGATATATAACTACTTTCATTTCTACCAGCTGAAATTTGTAAACTGCGCATCTTTATAAGATTTTACAAAAAGCTTAATTCAAAGCTATATGAGGTATAAAGTTAAAACTTTTACTATTTTTAAATAAAAGTTCATAAATATATCATTGAATGACAGATAAAAAATATCACTTGAAAACAAATATTTAAAAATAGTTGGGTTTTTTTTGTTTGTTTTTCTTTATAATAATTGAAAAATATATCAACAAATTTGCATATTTTGTAAAAATGCACCTGTATCTTAAGTGAAAACCATCACTGCAAGAATATTATATGCATGTTTATCAATGAAGGGTAAGTTGAACGTGAATGGTGTCTGAATTGCTGTGAGTTATTGAAAGCATGACATGTACGAGGGTTGTCCCATAAAATCGTGGACAAGTTGTCTTGCATGAATATTAATCATCACTGCGTTCTGAAATTTTCACTACTTCTTAGTACATATTTTCTGAATGAATATAGCAAATTTCAAATAGATACATGCATAAATAAACGAATTATGAGATTTAATATTATGTATTGTATCGCCTTACGGCGCACGGACGATAACGTCAAAGTGCCTAAAACAGCGTCAGATACCTCAAGTTTCATCATTTTACTAAAAATAAAGTTGGATAAGAACCACTTAAATTACGAAAATTCATTTGAAGTACAAACGTAAGTCTCCATAAACAATTGAGGAACCAATCTGGCATAATTGAACGATCTTTTGAAGATTTATTAGTAAGATAAGGACAATATTCCAACTTCATTCAACTAATAGACAATCTTTATATTGACGCGGTCACCATTGACAGCGTCTTTAGCTATTACAATTGTAGTTTGTCTGTAAGTCTTGTACTACCTCGAGACTCGATCAAGAAAGACTTTACTCAAAAAAACTCCCATTTCATTTATATATTAAAAATTTGGAAATTTTGGGGGATTTTTTTCTTCTGTATTCATTTAAAGTTTTATACGGTATTATTACACCATCTAAATCGATCTCCGGTGCGCCGTAACGTCACAAAACGTCACAATTTTTCGTGTGTTTTGTTTACCACTTGCACAATTCAAATGCTCAGGAAAATGTCAAAATTTGACCAAATGCATTGAAATTTTTAAGAAGCCAATGAAATAAATTAAGGAATTGAATAAGGTTTATTTCTAACCTAATCTTATATATTTAAATCTTTTATTTCTAATCAATACTCCTCTATTCTCTTATAAAACCTTCGTTTTTTGACCGTGCACCGTAGGGCCTTACCCTGTGCACATCCAAGCACTATAAAATCTATATTTTTATGTATATTTTATCCAAAACATTATAATTAACTTAAATATGATAAGTAAACATTCACTGAAAATTTCAGCTTATTACGTCCATTATTTTTCGAGAAAATCGCTTTGTCCACGATTTTATGGGACAACCCTCGTATAAAGACAAGACCCTTATGAATTCGCCATTTGCAACATGTACTTTCGGTTTCAGATCTTAACATTTGGACAAAATAAACAGGGAAAACAACTTTCAGGAGGCTATCGAAGTCCAACTTACCCTTCTTTGATAAACATATAATTATTGTTTCTGTAATGATGACTTTCACTAAAAGTTAGGAATTAATTAGGTGTATTTTTATACATGCATTTTAAAAAGAATTTTTCTCGATAATTTTTTTAAAGGTGCATGGACACAGATTTGAATTCAATATTTTCTGTATAAGATCACGACTTATATATTTGAATAGCATTTCACATAAAAATATATTAAAACTTTTATTTCATCTTGAAGTTATTGAAACTTAAAATTTTGGGATTGGTTTGATTGACAGTTTGACATATCCTTGCACTCTCACAAATTTAACTTTTATCCTTAATACTTAGGAGAAGTGGCAATCTTGTTAAGTATTAATGAAAAATATTAAAACTTTAATCCACAAAAATAATTATATTCAGAGTAGATGTTAGAAAGCAAACCCCCTTCACAAGTATCGTCATTCCGCGCTTAGTGTTGTGTACAGAGTTTAGCAAATTGATCACACCCGTGAAACGTACACAGTTTTTGTAAACAGGGCACAAGCTCTGTTATTGTTGATGTTTACGATTCACCGGGTGCGTTCAACTGTTAAAGTCTGCTCACCACAACTGCACGGACTGACAATTTACTGTGTGTATGTTTTGCTTTCGAACATTTGTACTCTGATTTTCTGGATTATAGTAATATTCTTTATTTATACACAAAAAGATTGCCACTTTTCCTAAGTATAAAGAATAAAATAAAAAATTGTGAAAGTGCAAAGATTTGTCAATCAACCCATCTAAAAATTTGAAGATTTATTAACTTTTAGTTGAAATAAAATTTTTAATATAATTTTGTGTGAAATGCTCTTAAAATATATAAGTCGTAATATTATACAGAAAATATTTACTTCAAATCTGTGTCCATGCACTTTTAGGATTTGTTCTCAAATGATACTTCCTATCTGTTAATCAATAAAATATTTTATGAACTGTAAAAGTTTTAACTTTATAAACCACATAATTTTGGAGCTATTGTAACATGTTGACCTTTGTCAAAACTTTAATGTACGTGGGCTATTTAGTTCCTATATGACAAAAACGTCTCAGTCATTTAATCATTTCACTATACAAATATTGATACATGCAATATAAAATTAGAATTCTATTTTTCTATTTTATTAATATGTACTAGTCCCAGTTTAATCATGGACCCCCGTACCAGTGCGCAGGACGTAATACGATGTGACCTGTGTGAGACCGCTGTGGTACAGATGCACTGTGATACATGCCTTGTCAACCTGTGTAAGGCCTGTGTGGGAGAACATGTGTCAACCGATCCATCAAAACCCCATAAAATTGTTGATTTCAAGGAGAGAAAATTTACCACGATCTATCCTAATTGCAGATCTCATAATAAAGAGAAATGTAAAATGTACTGCAAACAATGTGACATTCCTGTCTGTATCAACTGCCTCGAATCTAATCAACATTTAAGTCATGAATTATCTAAATTCTTGCAAGCTTTGGATGAAAAGAAGGACATGATTATAAAAGAGAGAAATGAATTAAATGATACAATTTATCCAACCTACCAGGACATTGCCTCTGATGTACAAAAAAGAATGCGTTATTTGGAAAAGGATTATGGAGATCTCGCAACAGCCATAATGAAACACGGAGATGACTTGCACAGAGAAATTGACAAACTTGTCGAGAAACTTAAAGCTGAGGTTGATGAGATGAAAAACACGCAGTTACAAACTCTACAAAAACATCTGGATGAAATTAACAAAAGCGTTTCTGAAATCAAGAATGAAATCGATTCAATTGATGTTGCTGTGGATTCTAATGACATTTCAAAACTATTCAGTGTTTCATTTGTTATGAACAGATACAAAGATCTTCCAGGGAAAATTGTGCCCTATTTACCTAAATTTGCTTTTGGAAGAATCCAAGGAGAAGAACTTCGTAAGTTCTTTGGATCCTTATCATCAAGTTCTTCAACATTATATAAACATGGCTACAGAATGACCACAAGACAGAAATCACCAGAAACGGGATCCTCTCCTCCAATCAAACAGCTACTTGATGAACCAGAGATTGCCACTACCATAGACACTGGGTATGGATACCTTTACAATGTGGCATGTCTGAATGATGAAAATATCTGGACAAGTGGAGAAGACAGCACAATGAAACTCTTCAGCATCAATCAGGGATCACTACTCAAGTCAATCACAACCAAGTCAGGGAACGCAAAATCTAACATAGCAGTGACAAAAGGAGGAGATTTAGTTTATACTGATACCAATGACAGAACTGTAAATATTGTGAAAAATGAAAAGATAGAGGAGGCGATCAGCCTACAGGAATGGAGACCTAAAGGTGTCTGCAGTACCTCCTCTGGTGACCTCCTGGTTATCATGGACAGTAAGGATGACAAACAAACGAAAGTTGTTCGTTACTCTGGCTCCATAGAAAAACAAACCATTCAGTTTGATGATGAGGGTAAACCACTCTATTCACCTAGTTATCGTTACCTAAGAAATGTTACAGAGAACAAAAACCTAGATATATGTGTAGCTGACGATGGAACTGGAGTGATAGTGGTGGTCAATCAGGCCGGGAAACTGAGATTCAGGTACACTGGACATATTCCTGCTCCAAAGAACAAACCATTCTATCCACGAGGAATCACCACAGACAGTCAGAGTCGCATCCTTACAGCTGATATGAACAATGACTGTGTCCACATCATAGACCAAGATGGACAGTTTCTCCGTTACTTAGACTGTGGACTGACTGAACCCTGGGGACTGTGTACCGATACAAATGACAATCTATTTATTGCTCAATGGGAAAATAAACAAGTGAAGAAAATCAAATATCTGACGTGAGACCATAAAGAAATCACAGAAAAATACATCAATAAGTCAGACATGCCACACAGCTGCACTGTATGTACACTTAATGTAAGAAATTAGAATTTTTTAAAAATCTATTTGCGAAATGAATATTATGGATGTAATAATATGCTAACTTAACTAAATCATATCATATGTGTACATGTGCATGTGTTTGCTGATGTTTAGCAAATAAAGTTTCTAAAAGGAATACTCAGATGCTGCTTTTCTAATGTTAGTTTACTCTGTTTAGTAGGAAATTGTCCTTACTTTCTTAGAATACTAAAGCGTCAAATTACCCATAATGCAAAATTATTGCACGCATCACTAGGTTGTAGAACATACATCACAAGATTTTGAATAATCACAAGATATTGCACATACATCACAAGATTGTAGAACATACATAACAAGATTTCGAATATATATCACAAGATTTCGAACATACATCACAAGATTATAGAATATACATCACATTAGTTTTTGAATACACATCACAAGATATTGAACATACATCACAAGATTTCGAATATACATCTCAAGATATTGAACATACATCACAAGATTATAGAATATACATCACAAGTTTTTGAATATACATCACAAGATTTTGAACATACATCACAAGATTTTGAATATACATCATAAGATTTAGAACATACCGTATATACTCGCCTATAAGTCGGCTTTTTGGGAGGTTTACTTTGGTCCAAAACTCTGTGTCCGGCTTATGGGCGAGATTGGTATTTTAGAAGGTCAGTCTTTCTAACATAAGCATAAAAAATACAACCGAATTCGAGGCGTACCGACTTATAGGCGAGTATATACGGTACATCACAAGATTTTGAATATACATCACAAGATTATCGAATTTAGCAACGTTTAACACGCCATACATGAGAAAACAATATGCGAAATAATTTTTACTGTGTGGCCGACAATTATGAAAACTGGTAAGGGGTGTAAAGTGGTTACTGTACAGTTAAATAGGTGTTCAAAACTACTCAACCATGACGTTTATGACGTCAATTGTTTAAAGGCCAAAAACACGCACATATTAATGATGACAGTTTTGTAAACACATTTTGTAGTACCAATTGGTGAACTGGGGGTATAAACATCGTTTTTGCATATTTTAAGTCAGTTTGAATTTCTTGAAAGCGTGTCATGGCTGACGGGTTTCGTTGGGTATAGTTTTTGAATGGCATCGACAACAATATGTTGCGGTGCAGTTTGTTTTTACGTTTTCCACCAAAGAACATTTTTTCAGTTGTTAGAGAGTAACTTGAAAGGTTTCCAACCTACCGCGACAGTGAAGTTGGCGCGTAACAACGTCACATTAAGATAGGGCTATCATCATGCCACTTAGCTTCTGTAATCGTCAATGCATTACCACTGAAACCGATATTAAAACAGTAAGGGATCATAATTGTACCATTCACTCTAAAACTGAAAGAAAGTAATTGCTCTATTTTGGTCCGTGAGCTCGGCAACTTTGGGTCGGTATTACTGTCACTTGCGCACGCATACGTCGGATTTCTGATTTTATCTTTTTTGTTCACCCCGGAGAAATATAGACTGTATTTGTCATTTTTTTCTTACAGACATTCATAATTACCGAATCAGCTGGATTCTGTAAATTTTATCTTTTTTCCTCAATCAAAAATCTGTTGGATAAACTCGATGATAGGGTTTGAAGGCTATAGAATGCTTTAGAATACTCCAATTATTCCATGTCGACTTTACGGCTATCCTGTCGTAAAAGTTGAATAATATCCCTATGAGAAAGATTAAATGCACTGATGAACTCCTTGCACGGGAAATTCAAGGTTTTTACAGATGCGCAAGGGAGATGATGAGAATTTTTACTTTTATACTTCCAACAGTCAAAATCATGAAAGAATTTAGGAACTTGTTGAATAAAGATGAATTTAAATATTTGATACCAAAAAATACATTCGATATGATAGTTCTAATTTACTCCTAAATTTTACTATACGTTTCTTTTTCCCTTTCAGTACATATCTTGTCAATACATGTTTTATATCACAAATGATGCAAGCTATTTAAAACATGTGCAAATATCAAGATTAATCTACTTCAAGTTAATTAATAAGATTTTAAAGTAAGAACTCATATCCTTGTTTGCTTGCAGCGATCTATAAAATACAGTAGGGTAAACTGATCGCAAGTCGAACATGACCGCGAGTCGAACGCATTTTTAACGTCACCTAAACCTTATGATAAACAATAAATGGTAGGCAACTCTTGATTATCTGCCTTCTTTGTTACCCATCTAATCAATTAGAGTTGTCTTTCTTAGGTCGACCTCTTCTGTTAATAGTTCTAGGTGCCGGGAAATTTGAAGGTTATTTCCCCAAATTTTCTGTTGTAAATGAATTATCAATGTTGTTTCCAAGCTTCAAACAATTAACAAATAATCTAATCAATATTTAGAAAGACAAATTCATACCTATAAATGATTTTAAAATCTGTTTTATTTACGTTTGGATGCATAATTCGCAAAATAATCCACCATCCTTCATTTGAAATAATGTTAAAAAATTATATGAAGTCGAACACCGAAAATGATCGCAAGTCGACCAGTGTTCGACACCAGAAACAGCTAAAAAAAATTCCTCAAATAAAATGAAATACACGCATTATAAGATAAAATATTAAATATTTAAAGATATAAATGATTTAATTTTAAAAATGAATAATTAGGATGTATATAAATTAATTATTTGATGAAGCAGAACACAATTTACGTGATCAAAATTAACAAATTTAGAATTAAAAAGGACATGTATGTAGGCTATTTCTTTGGCAATGATGTCCAAATTAAATTTTTAAAAATTTGTGCTAAATCCACACGCAGGAAAAAAAATTGAGTTGGATTTTTTTGTATTGCCACCTCCCCTGCCCTTTGAAAAAAAAAACTGGCCTGACAATGTTTTCAGCGCGATCCCCAAAGCCCAATAATGTAACAGGTGTGTGTTGATGGGTTCCTAATGCTTTGTCCAATTACAAATACGTTAAAAATTATACATATCTAAATAGCGAATAAAAAAGATTGGACGTTCTGTAAGCACATGGCATATAATTTCGAATATACGTATAGTTATTTCAATTAAGTCTGAAAATATTTATTGATAAGTCTACCTGCAACCATGTCCTAATTATTATTGTAGCTTGGTAAAATCATCTTGGTACACGCATTGGGGGTTGGGCCCCACTTCTGGAATTTCCGGGGTTACTTGGGAGTGGTAGAGGTTGTTCGTTACGAAGTACTACATGTAGTATTTATTTATTTGAGATCGATTCCGTTCCCTATCTTCACCTTTGTCAGGTAGGTACGTGGTCATGATCCCTCCTTTAAAAAAATAATGATGCAGCATGCAAGTATTTGCGCCAATTCCAGAGGTGAAAAAGAAACGAAATCTGTTGAGATCTCAAGAATATCTGGACCGTGATTAAAGATCAACATGATTTAAAGAAAAACAAAAGTTTATAGAAAGTTAAATTGTTCAACTAAAACACTTTTTCAAATATGATTCAAATAGATGAAATGAAATTCTCTCCACAATCTTAGAATTGGGAAATATTATTTGATATATAAAAATCTACGACAAAAAATCAGAAATATGTTGAAAGGAATAGTGCAATTAATGGTTTTCTTTGCATCAGAAAATTCACAAGCAGAAAGTCTTAGTCACTACAATACTATAAAGCTGTGGCATAATCTTTGTTCTGGTGTAAAATGTCCACGTAACAGCAGGAGCGGGAGGCGCACCCATCCCCCCATTTTTTTCAAATATAGCTTTTTTATTGAAAAGCTTTATTTAAGCTGTGATTGGACAATTTTTGATAAAGTCATGTCCTTTGACGAAAAAAATATCCAATTAGTTGCAATTTCCGTTCATTTTCTTTGCAGAGGTTGCACGTCATACTGAAATGACTTAGTTAAGTTTACTTGTCTGCCAAGTTATATTGAAATCAGACAAGAAATGTAGGAGAGGTAACGTTTTGAGAAAAAAAAATGTTTCAAGACAGACGGAAAGACGACGAACATTTAATTCCCACATAAGCTCTTCTGGTCTAATAAAAGAAGAGGTAATAAAAAGTTGTATATCTTTCTGTGCCATCCTTGCTCCATGTGCACCTTGATTTAAACATAAAATATTTTCGATATTTACTGAAGAAAGTTGCACATAACAGGCCTATGGTAAGATTTTAAATATATTTGACAATTTTAGATGAGGGAGGGGAAGACACAGTACGTATTACCGGAAGAGAATTCAATGCAAATTAAGATGATAGAAGGATGAATAGACAGAAGGACACTATATGATCAGAAATATTAGATCAACTTCTGAGCTATAGATTATGCACTATGATCCCCAATATGCACAGGCCTATAACTATAAGATTACATGCAGTTAAACTTATGCGGGTCATGTGAATTTGGTTGAAAAGACAAATGCCAATAAATTCAGGTATTTATAATTGAGTGATTTTTGCAGTAAATTTTCATTACTTAACTATTTACAGGTCTGAAAAATGTATCAAGATTTGTGTAAATGTTTAAAACACTATTCAAAGATGATCAAGATCAGGCTTGTTTCTGTTAGAGACGGGGAGACACATACTACTTTTAGTTTTTACCACCTGATAAACGTGTTTATTACTTGTATATATCTGACTGTATGCTAGTATTAACTGTCATTGCTACTCTTCCAGGCCCGTAGAACAGGAGGGGACACCTAGACGGTTAAAGAGATTTATTTTATCTTGTCAGATTTTTATGGGAAGCTTCACCCCCCCCCCTCCTTTAAAAATCATTATAAGATTATTGATACATGTATATATTTAATACTGTAAACCAACTTTTATTCGCGTGTGAGATATTTTCGCGAAGTTCGCGAAAGCCTTGTCATCGCGATTATTTCTTGCCTCGAACCGGTCCTAAAAGTCTCTGAGTCTAATAACAACAGATCAAATTAGGCTAGATCGCTAAAATTAATCGTCGCAAACTAGATCACCCCGGTATCTCGCGAAATAAAGTCCTCACGAATAAAAGTTGGTTTACAGTGTATCATAATAAAATTCCATTTTCTAAAAAATAAAGTCCTAGTTTGATATGGACCCCCGTACCAGTGCCCAGGACGTGATGCGATTTGACATGTGTACTTGAGACTGCTGTGGTACAGATGCACAGCGATATACAAGACATTGGGAATAATTTTCATTTTTTGAAAGGTGAGAAACTAATTACATGCAAACCGATATTTTCAAAGTTTAAAAATATGCAGATACATGTGAGAAACATTAAAAACTTTATGATATGATATTGGTACATTTGTCATGTTATTACCGTCTTCCTTGGAAGACGGTATTATATAGTTGAAGTTTTTTACAGTCTTCGGACTATGCACTTCCTCTCTTTCGTGATTGGTAGAAATTGCATGATGAGAAAACTTTCAATTATTTCATTGGTTGAAATGCTGTTCAAGGCAAGGGAGATAACTTTCTGATGGTCTAATTTTCGTACGACTTAACAATTTTTCCATATTTGCAATCTTAAAAAAATGACAAAACGAACAACATCAACTGTAATTAATTCTAAATAACAATATTTTTAATAGCAATTACTAAAAAGGTCTCTTTATTTTCATCAAGTTGCAAATAAGATTTGATTTTTATTGCTTGCTGGCTTTACAATTTGTATTTATTCTTTTCCCCTTATTTGTTTGAAGAAAGTAACATTTAACGGAATCGGCCGGGGTTTGCCGAAAGTCTCGATCAGTTTACGGAGATGACCGAGCGATAACCGCGGTAGAACTAAAACCATTAAAAAGCTAAATGTAGAAATACGAAATCAAGAAATTCAAAAGAATTATACAACTTGAAAGATGTAGATCAGTTTACTGTTTAACGTTGTTGCTAAAGACGGTTAGCTTTTTGAAAAAGCTCTACTTGTAAGTTTGTTATAAGTTGGTTATTTTGGTGACTGGAAATTTAAGGTAAGTTCAATACAGGAAGTCCCTCTGAAGTCTGAATATTTGACAAAGGAACACCAGCACATGAAGGATAATTAAGAAAGATAATAAAAACTTTTGAATGTTTAATACCTTTAAATTTAAAATTGCCAACAAAGGTTTTCTTTACATAAAATTAGCTAGAAAATACCCATGTCTTTTGTACTGTGACATGAAAGCAACCTAAAATTTGTTAAAACAAAGGAATCAAATGATCACCTATAATGCATGGCTAAAGGAATATGGAATGTTTACCAATGGTAGTAATGTTGGACATTTTTTTCACATGTGATTTATCAAGCTTGTAAAGAAATGTGCGCTGAAAAAACCTAATCTTTGGCATTTCTTCATATAGAGCATATGGCATATCCGATGTAAACAAACAATGAATTATCGTTCGCAATCTCTATAAAATATCCATCCGCATAATGGCTGTATGTAATGCATTATCTTTGTTGACTAATTCATCGCTCCAGACTTTTGCATTTTGTGTTTTGGATATACGACTTAAATTCGAATTCGATCATTAATACGGGTAAAAATTATGATTTTATTTAATTTATTGCTAGTACCTTGATTTTAATATTTTGTAATTACTGCAAGGAAGATTACTTAACCCGAACTTTTGACGCCGTTGTCCAATTTAACAACGCACTCTTTTGAAACTATCAATACAAACACCTAAAAATGACAGTGTCTGGGTTTTTTTTTTTAATTAACGTATACGAGGGTTGTCCAGTAAAATCGTGGACAAAACGTTTTTCTCGAAAAGTAATGGGCGCACTAAGCTGAAATTTCAGTAAATGTGTATTTATCATATTAAAGTGGATGATAATTTTTTTGATAAAATATAGGCAAAAATAAAGATTTCATTATGCTTGAATGTGCACGAGGTATTGTCCTACGGCGCACGGTCAAAAAACCAAGGTTTTATTAAAGAATACACAAGTTTGAATTCTAAATAACAGTTTTAAATACATAAGATTTGAATTAAAATTATCCTAATTCAATTTCACAACCAATTTCGTAGTCTTTGTAAAAATTTTAAGGCATTTGCTTAATTTTTGGCAGTTTCTCGAGCATTCGAAAGTGGTAAACACGACACACGAAAAATGGCGACGTTTTATGACGTTACGGCGCACCGGAGAACAGTTCAGTTTTATTTCGATGTTGTAATGACACCTTTAGAGACTTGAAATGACCATAGAAGAAAAAAAATTATAAAAATATCACCATATCTTAAGTATACAAATGAAATAGGAGTTTTCTTAGCGAAGTTTTTTTGATCGAGTCCCTGGGGAGTACAAAACATACGGACAAACTCCTAATGTAATAGCAAAAGACGCTGTCACAGTAGACCGCCGATATGAGATTTTCTATTCGTTGAATGATGGTGAGAATATTATCCGTAACTTACTAATAAATCTTCAGAAGATCGCATGAGGGTGCCAATTGGTTCTTCGGCTGTTTATGGAGACTAAAGAATGTGTATCAATGAAATTCCTAAATTTAAGTCGGACTCATCCAACTTCATTTTCAGATAAAACGTGACGCTGTTTTAGACACTTTGACGTTATAATCCATGCGCCATAAGGTGATACAATACATGGCATAAAATCTCATAATTTGTTTATTAATACATATATTTATCTGAAATTTGCTGTGTATATGACTAAAATATGTACTAAAAAATAGTGAAAATTTCAGAACGCAGTGATGTTTATTTTTCACACTAGACAACTTGTCCACGATTTTACGGGACAACCCTCGTATACGTACGTCTTATAAATATGTACTTTTCACAATTGGTGAATTTGAAAAGAAGCAAGGAGGAAAACCTACCATTATGTGAGAATAAGATTTGTTTAATACATTTCATTGGTAATTTCAATATTTATGATACTGATAACTAGAAAAAAACAACATATTTTTATCAATTATCAATTTGGTTTAACAGATTATCAATAAATTCAAACAAATTAGTAATTTAAATGGCACATGTGAGCTAGAGATTATGCGCTGTCCTCAATTCACAGACCAAAGTCTATAATTAATGACACAAGGACTAAAATTAACTTACTGGTAGACTACACAGGTAGATAGGTCATGCACGTTATTCTTCCGATGCCAATAAAATCAGGTAATAATTATAGGGTCATTCTTTCAATAATGTTTCATTCCTTGGGATTTTTTAATATGCAAAATAGTAACATTTGTTTCAAAGTTAAAACATTATTCGAAGACAAAATCATAATCGTCACTTCAACACCTCACTGTTTTTTGAGATATCGGTGTTCAAGTTCAACTGTGTCTATCTATTTTCTATACCATTATGATTACTTTTGGAATATCCCACCTTTGATGTTTTGGAGGTCCGTGTTTGCTCTGCTCCTATTTTTTTTATTGTTTTATGGACTTTGAGATTGAATAATGTTCGTTATCACCACAACCTTCCTTATTGCAAAGATTGATTTAAATCCTCACAATAAATTAGGAAGTAAAAACACCTGACAGGTAGATAACACACATAGTGGATCACATGATCAGAGTGTATATCAATAGAGAGGACGGACACCATTACTGCATTCAGGTAATTAAGGTAAGAATGACTTTAAATTTTTTGTATATTAAAAAAATTAGTACTGTCTGCTTTGACCATGTGAAAAATATCTCTGTAACTCAAAAATTCAATAATTCATGAACATGATGTCTTGTTTATCTACATGTGTATGTCTGCAAAAGTTGCCTCCTTAATGGCCCATAAATCTTAATATTATTTCATAGACATATACTCATTAAAGCTAATATTTTGTGTTTAGTGTAATGATGGACCCTCGTACCAGTGCCCGGGAAGTGATGCGATGTGACTTGTGTGAGACCGCTGTGGTACAGATGCACTGTGATACATGTCTTGTCAACCTGTGCAAGGCCTGTGTGGGAGAACATGCTTCAGCTGATCTTTCCAAACCCCATAAAATTGTTGATTTCAAGTATAGAAAATCCACTATGTTCTATCCTGCTTGCAGATCTCATGATAAAGAACTTTGTGAAATGTTCTGTAAACAATGTGACATTCTTGTCTGCATTAGTTGCATCGAATCTAATCATCATTTAGGCCATGAATTATCTAAATTCTTGCGAGTTTTTGGGTGAAAAGAAGGACATGTGTATAAAAGAGAGAAATGAATTAAATGACACAATTTATCCAACCTACCTGGACATTGCCTCTGATGTACAAAACAGAATGAGTCAGTTAGAAAAGGAATGTGGAGATCTCTCAACAGCCATAACAAAACATGGAGAGGACTGGCACAGAGAAATTGACAAACCTGTCAAGAAACTTAAAATTGAAGTTGATGAGATGAAAAACACACAGTTACAAACTCTACAGAAACATCTGGAGGAAATTTATGAAAACATTTCTGAAATCAAGAGTGAAATCGAATCCATTGAGGTTGCAATGGATTCTAATGACATTTCCAAACTATTCAGTGTTACATCTGATATGAACAGACTCAGAAATCTTCCAGAAAAAATTGTGCTCTCCTTACCTACATTTACTTCTGGAAAAATCCAAGGAGAGGAATTTTCTAATCTCTTTGGCGCTTTATCATCAAGTTCTTTAACAGATAAACATGGCTACGTATACAGCATGAAGACAACACAGAAATTACCAGAAGCTGGATCCTCTCCTCCAGTCAAACAGCTGCTAGATGAACCAGAGACTGTCACCACCATAGTCACTGTGTATGGGCTGCTTTACAATGTGGCCTGTCTGAGTGATAAAGAAATCTGGACAAGCGGACAAGATAGTACTATGGAACTCTATAGGATTAATGAGGGATCACTACTCAAGTCAATCAAAACCACGTCAGGGGGCATACCATCTAGCTTATCAGTGACAAAAAGAGGAGATCTAGTCTGCACTGATTACAAAAAAAGAACTGTGAATATCGTAAAGAATGACGAGATAGAGGAAGTGATCAGACTGCAGAACTGGGAACCTAACGGTGCCTGTAGTACCTCCTCTGGTGACCTTTTGGTTATCATGAAAAGTGATTATGAAAACCTAACAAAAGTTGTCCGTTACTCTGGCTCCACAGAGAAACAGACCATTCAGTTTGATGATAAAGGTAAACCTATCTTTTCTCCTTATCTTTGCTACATAACTGAAAACAGGAACCTGGATATCTGCGTGTCTGACAATGGAGCTAAGGCAGTAGTGGTGTTCAATTCGGCCGGGAAACTTATATTCAGGTACACTGGACATACTTCTGCTGCATCCTTCAATCCACAAGGAATCACAACAGACAGTCAAAGTCACATCCTTATAGCTGATATTAGCAGTCACTGGGTCCATATCATAGACCAGAATGGACAGTTTCTCCGTTACATAGAATGTGGACTGAGTTGGCCCTGGGGACTGTGTACAGATACAAATGATAATTTGTTTGTTGCTCAACGTGGACGAAAACAAGTAAAGAAAATCAAATATCTGCAGTGAAGCCATAATGAAAGACATAAGAATATTTCAAAATGTTTTCTATATAAATGCAATGTGTAAGATAAGACTTTCAACAAAAATTAAATTGCTTCATAAATACAAGACCAAGAAATCGAAACATTTCTTTGAAGCCATGCCTTTGTTCTTGCAGTCTAAAATTTGCCTGTATGCCAGTAAATTTTGATTCTGGAGAATCATCATATTTGTCGTAGAAATAATATTGAAAATCTCAAAGAAACAGCTAAAGCAGAAAGAAGTGAAAAACACTAAGGACTCCCAGGAATCTGCGGTGCTACATGTAGCTTTGACAGAAGAACTCTCAGGCCTGCGGAATAGAATTTCGGAAATGAAACAAAATACATCAAAGGTGATATCAAAACTTAAAAAGCCTACTGATGCAGCTAAGCTCACTGAGCAAAATCCAACTGTGGTTGATATATCAGAAAGACTGAAAGCATAGAAATCCACCCTTTTGATGGATCCGCCACTGAAGGACACTGTAAAGAGAACACAGGCCTTGCCTTGATACAAAATTCACTCTTTCCCGCCGTGAGACAGCTGCGTGCGCAAATGGCGGAAGTTCAGCAATTAGTGACACATGGAACTGAAAAAGAAATGAAATGTATCTCCTATGCATTTAGTATACAAGGACTAGCTTTTACTTCATGGGAATAAATTGTATTGCGATTTAATGAACAGAAATTAAATACTAAGCAATTTCTAGACAAGCGTTTCTTTATATACCTTCCTTGCTTCATGCAATATTATACAATTATTGCTGTTTTTGAGGTCAATACAATGATTTAGCCATCTGAGGAGTACAATATTCACCGAGGCCGAAGGACGGGGTGAATATTGTACTTCGAAGATGGCTAAATCATTGTATTGACCGTAAAAAAACCCAGCAATAATTGTTTTATTGTATGATTCACTGTCTGATAAAATGATACAGCTCATTACTTGTTTGCATTTTATTAAGTCCTAGCCAAATACAAGAGAGAAGCAGAATTAAGATGTGAATAAACCTTACCATTCGTATCAATTTGAAAAGTTTTTTTATCAATTTTTAGTGGCCATGAAAAAGATTTATAATGTAAGTCTTTTTTATCGGATAGATTTTTAAAGGAAGGAGTATTATCAGGGAAAACTGACTGCCAAAAAGGAAAAAAAATTGTTCAGTAAAAATGTTAGAGGGGGGGTCCCTGCATTCCCTCCTACCACCCTCACACTAAAATATATATTCGCTTATGTCTTGTCCACATGAAAAAAAAATCATAGTCGTTTAAACAGCTTTCCAAAAAAATTTGTTTCAATTTGGAATTCCTCAATCTATTATTAGTTCAATGTTGAGTAAATAAATCCTTGTATTGACCTGGAACGTCACGTACAGGTCAATACAACGTAGTATTTTTCTAACATGATTGGATCTCAGCCAATCAGAGAGATGGAAATTATTCAATCATGTAATAAAACAAAATACAAAAAGGTATTATTGTTTCTGTTTATCATGTTTTTTTTCATATTGTATTTTGGACATTTTCTGACAAGCGAAAATGTCCCTAAACACCGTATAAGCAGAATTTTTCGCGAGGATTCATTTTTGGCATTATAAGCGAGGGTGCCAAAATCGTAAATTAAAACTAAATATTGCTACAAATTAATTTCTCTTTATTTGTAATAGTTTCTTGAGTGAGCTTTTTAAAAGAGCTAAAATTACATCCTGCTTAAAATTAAATACCTATTTTAAAGAAGAAATCGTTAAATTTGCGTCCCGCTAAAATGTCTATTTATACGGTAAATAAGAACTATAATACGGAAGCCCATTAGTGCCAACCTGTATATATAAAGGAAAAGCGATATATAAAAGCAAACCTCTATATATAAAGAAATTGCGATATATATATAAAGAAAACCTCGATATATATAAAGAAAACCTCGATATATATAAAGAAAACCTCGATATATATAAAGGAAATGCGATATATATAAACAAAACTTCGATATATATAAAGAGAAAAATTTCCACTGCCTGACCTTTAACATGTTTAATGAGCTACATTACATCACCAACATATGATAAGCAGCTCCCGGTCCAATGTTTTGATTTCAATCAGTTGGTGTGGCTGTTTCAGGATGGTATTCAGCGTGTTGTGTTTTCTTCCTTTGTGTATCTTGATAATTATGACAATTAAATCTAAAGCTTAAACACTTTGTTCTCCTTACATTTCAGACGTGTTGGGCAGAATTACACCAATGAGTGACTTTTCGGCTTAAAATGTATATTACATAGCACTAAATGTTGGAAGTCTTTTTCAATCGAAATATAATTCGGTGCAAAAATACAAATGTGTTTTATCATTTTTTATAAGTTCTTTAACGTTTTACTATGTTTTTACATGATGTAGATTTTCAAATCGATTTAATTTACGATGTGGGACAACAATCCGCAGTTTAATTATGTAAATGTGCATGCACTGACTCGTTTCTTTTTATCTATTAACAAATATTTTATTTTTTTTTCACACCAAAAGACCCTTAAATTATTACATATACGGTAAAAGTACATGTCGCTTTCTTCCCTCATATTCAAATGAAATGGGTACCTTCATCTCTCCCCTCTCTCCCATTCCGATTCTTTTTTTCTTTTTTTTCAATCAATGGGCGTACTCGTAAATTATTTTTATAATGAATTTAAATAAATTTGAATTAGGGCATAAAAAAAGTTCTTGTTAAGACCCCACGTTTAACATTATATTTTCATAAATTCTCGATTGTGAAACCAAAGTTAGTAAGTTTTGTAAAAAAAAAAACAAGGTAGGTTGTAAAAAAAATCTAAAGTTTAAACTTATCTGTAACTATCTAGATAAGTTTAAACTTTAGATTTAAACTTTTAATGTAACATATGTATCGTATTTTCTGTGTTTTATTGGCTTTACATGTATTTTGATTAACTTCGTTTTTTTACAACCTACCTTGTTTTTTTTTTTGGTTTGTTTGTTTTTTTTTGTAACGCATATACTTAATTATGAATGCATTTAAATAAATGCTCTTCTTCTCAATTAAGTGCATTATTTTAAGTTATGTTGATATATGCATGTACAAACAACTGAACACTATAAAATAGCAACATTTTTCCGATTCTGGGAAAGTTCTGAGTACTGTATAACTGATTTCCCCCTGCCAGGAGTTAATCTGTATATAATCTTGATGGACAGCTGAGTGCTACAGGTCACGCAGTGGAACAATTTCTCTTTATATATATCGCATTTCTCTTTATATATATCGAGGTTTTGTTTATATAATATATCGCTTTTCTCTTTATATATCGAGGTTTTGTTTATATATATCACATTTCCTTTATATATATTTTCGTTTATATATATCGCATTTCCTTTATATATATCCAGGTTTTGTTTATATATATTGTATTTCCTTTATATATCGAGGTTTGCTTTTATATATTGCATTTCCTTTATATATAGAGGTTGGCACTAATGGGCTTCCGAACTATAACCATCTTACTGTGTGTTTTGAAGCCTATGAATTTTGATAATTTTAAGCAACTGTACGAAAGTATTCTGCTGATTTTGAGGCCCACTGACCCTTTAAAACCCCACAATTAAAACTAAAATTACTCTAAGGTGGATAAACCAGGCTGAAGCTAGCAGCCAATAGGAGCAGCCATTAAGCCCGTAGAAGCTAGCAGCCAATAAGGAAATTCATCAAAGAACTGAGAGTACTGAGAGGCAGTACTGTTTTTAATACTTTATTTTAGAAAATTAAGGGCTTATGATTGGATAATTAATGCGAAAATTAATTACATAATAAATCAGATACTCGGAGGCAGTACGGCTCACCTTAAAAAAAAAAGTGCTTTCTTGAAACTGAAAAATAGAAATAAATTACGCAATCATCTTAGTTCACTTGATCAAACAAGCACTAGGATTTGGTTAACTACTTCAATAAGAATACCTTTTCAACTCTTTCAGGGACCTCAAAAATATTACAGGGCCAATAAGCTAACCTGAAAATTGGTTAATCTATCGATTATAAACTGAAATATTACACAAGTGTAAACTACGTTGAAGTATGTTTCGAACATTATTACCGGGGCAACTTTAAGGGTCTATAAGACTATTAATAACCGTTATCAGTAATAAGAGGTGGTGGTGGTGCCACCAAGTGGTTCCAAGGGCACTTTTAATATTTTTTATAAAGTGCCCACCATATCGTAACTAGGGCAAGGTAGAAGGACCCCAGGACTTTTGTTTAGTGCTATCAGAACGGGATAGTTGTGGTGCCTAGTGCGTAGATTATATTTCATGCAATTAATTGTCATCAATTATTGGCCACTTGAACAAACTAATCACTAGAGATGAATTTAGGGCCTCAGGAAGTATCCCTTGTCAACCTTACAAAGGGTCCCAGGTACCACAAAGGGCTAGTAGGCTAAGTTTGACGTTGGGTTTTACATTATATCCAGAAAAAAACCATTAGAGAACAGATATTCTTTGAAGTGTCCACCAAAAGATTATTAGAGCAAGGTAGAGGGGTCCTAGGACTATCATTTCCCACCTTCAAAATGGGGCTGTAGTGGCACCACCAAGTGGTGCCAAGTGCGTGGGGCATATTTCAAGCATTCATTTGTCCTCCATTTCTGGGAACCTGAACCATCTCTCACTGGGGATGGGTAAAGGGTCTTAGGGGGTATCCCCTGTCAAAGTTTCAAAGGGCCCTCGGGCCTGGGAAAGGCCGGTTAGCTAACCTGAACTTTGATGTTTTTTCATCATTGTATATTGTGAAACGGGAAAAGGCCAGCTATTATACGCCTTATCTTTGAAGTGTTCATCAAATGATTAATGGGCCAAGGTAGAGGGGTCCTAGGGCTATCATTTCCCACCTTCAAAATGAGGCTGTAGTGGCACCACCAAGTGGTGCCAAGTGCGTGGGGCATATTTCAAGCATTCATTTGTCCTCCATTTCTTGGAACCTGAACCATCTCTCACTGGGGATGGGTAAAGGGTCTTAGGGGGTATCCCCTGTCAAAGTTTCAAAGGGCCCTCGGGCCTGGGAAAGGCCGGTTAGCTAACCGGAACTTTGATGTTTTTTCATCATTGTATATTGTGAAACGGGAAAAGGCCAGCTATTATACGCCTTATCTTTGAAGTGTTCATCAAATGATTATTGGGGCAAGGTAGAGGGGTCCTAGGGCTATCATTTCCCACCTTCAAAATGAGGCTGTAGTGGCACCACCAAGTGGTGCCAAGTGCGTGGGGCATATTTCAAGCATTCATTTGTCCTCCATTTCTTGGAACCTGAACCATCTCTCACTGGGGATGGGTAAAGGGTCTTAGGGGGTATCCCCTGTCAAAGTTTCAAAGGGCCCTCGGGCCTGGGAAAGGCCGGTTAGCTAACCTGAACTTTGATGTTTTTTCATCATTGTATATTGTGAAACGGGAA